TATTTATTTATTTATTTATTTTTTTTGTCAAGCTATGACTTAATAACAATGTGTCTGGTCACTTGCAATGACCAGTCACCAGCGCTGAACCAGGGCCAACATTAGTTTTATATACGCCCTCATTTTTCCCCACCTTGGAGGAATTTGGAAATTGTGCATCACACAATTTGTCCAGCAGTGGGCGTAAACAGCGCTTCAACACAACGCCCTAAAACTTGTACCCAGACTCCCTGTGGTGTTATCTGCTTTTATCTTTATTTTGTATAATTAATGGTGTGAGAAGAATCGGACAATTAATTTATTGAGAAAATCTTTATCAGCATTCATCGAGATGATGGATTTATCCAGTTAGTTACTGTCCGAGGAAAATGTTAAGATTTCTGTGGGAATTTGAGATTTTCCCACAGAGATTTTCATACAAAATTTATAATCAGTAAACTAATAAGAAGTATTTAAATCAATGAACTGCAATATGAAATGGAAGTTATGACAGCACCTTGAGCTTCGAAATAAAAATTGGAATCACTTGTGTTTTTAAAATCTCGGTCTATAAAATAACCTACTGACGTAAACAACCTTTTGGATTCAGATTAGGAACACGTATTTATCTAATCTAGTCCACACTTAGACCTGTTTTTCGTTAGTGGCAGCTCCGGCAGCTGAAGTTTATTCTCGGAGAGGGATTTATCATTTTAAAGTGCGCCATGCTGTTGTTGTGCGCTCACCTCTATGCCCAGCTTCTGTTTGAGGACCAGGGCGGCGCACAGGTACCCAGCCCGCCCTACAAACAGCTCATCCGAGCCGCACTCCAGAAAATGGATGGGAGCGCACACCTCCCACAGGTTACGGAATTTAGTCAGCGGCTTCACGAAATCAGCCAAGCCCAGGGACTTGTAGATCATAGCGGCCACAGCGTAGATGCCCGCCCCGCCGAGCAGGAAGGCGGCACGCATGTTTTTGTCCGGCTCCGCATCCACGTATCTGACCGACATGTCGATGATCTGCTTGGCCGTCTTCAGGTAGACATCCCGGTACTCAGAGAACAGCGGGCACTCGCTGACGTGATACAGCATGTAAGCCACCCCGGCCGGCCCATCGTATAGCCCTCCGTCGCAGTCGCTGAGGTCGATGGGAACAGTTTGAAGGATTTTATCTATGCTGGCGACCACGACGGGCACGGCAGCTTCGGCGCCCTGGCCCGGGAGCAGCGCACCTTTGTAGTCGGAGAAACGGTTGGCAAAGCAGCGAGTGTTTTCCATCACCGACGAAAAGCCGATAGAGACAGCACGACGTGCACGCAGGGCCCACTGATAACGCAGATCCGTGTCAGCTACTCAAAGTATCCAAGAGGAGAAACACTTTAATCCAATCCCATCAGGTCTCAGCTGATTGGACGCGAGCAGTGATGGCTCAGCCTCATATTGGCTGGAAGGACCTGAGCCTGTCAGCCTCCAGCTTGCACCCTCTCAGCAAAGTCCTTCTAGAAGTAGCAGAGTCGCAAACAGCCACAACAAGCATAGAGAATGGTTTGGCCTCTTTTAACAGTAAATCACAACAAAAACAGGCTAAAGATGCATTTTAATGGGAAACTATGCAGTAAAATTCATTCAGGTGTGTATTTATTGGTTAGTAGTCTGCACAAGTCCTGAATGGTCATGAACATTAACCACTCTGAGACAGTTTAACCTTCATACAGCCCGTGCATTTCCTCCTATTAAGATAACTGTGGTGTGCTTCCAAGCGTTACAATAAACACAACCAATAATTAAACTTAAATAAAGTAGAATACATCAATAGAATACAAAACAATATGGCAAAATAAAGTAACCCAGTAAGGGAAAACCACACAGAAGACAGAATCTCAGTTACAAAGTAACATAAAATAAAATAGACAAGCTCGATATGTAAAAGAAAAGTAAAATTTTAATTTCTTATGTTAAAGCTGATCAAATCCAACTATAGTTTTTTGAAACAACAGCTTGCTTAATGTTGTGCATACAATTGTACTATAACCCTTTGTGCTGTATGTTGTTGGGCAGTTAGAGATTTGCCATCATATTCTGTGAATTTATTTTGTATGACAAACCTGAATCTGGAACGGATCATTGCTCCAAAGAGGAAACTTTATTAATCCCTAAGGAAATTATGTGGTCACAGTTGCTCCCAAACAATAAGAACAGTAACAGACTGAACTAAACGAAATAACACAGTTATATTACAAAGTTTCCAAAATGTAAAAATAGCTCAGTTATTATATCCAGAATATTGCAGAGGTGGAGTATATATGACTGACATTTTTATTCTAACCTGTAAAACATGTTATTTGTTATAGAGGATGTACAAAAGGGTTTAACTGCTGCACTGTGTCCTGTACATTAGATGGAGGAGAGAGCCACAGGCAGGAATAATTTCCTGTGTTGTTCAGTGGTGCATTATGGGTAATACCAGTCTCTCACTGAACGTGTTCCTGTGACTGGCTAGCATGTCGTATTGTAGGTGGGAGGTATTATCTAGCATTGTCCTTATGTTGGACAACATCTGCCTCCCTGACACCACCTCAAGGGAGTCCAGCTCTGTCCCCACAACATTACTGGCCTTGTGGATCAGTTTATTGGGTCTTGTGGCATCGATTCTCAACCTGCTGCCCCAGCATGTAACAGCATAGAGGATGGCACTGGCCACAACAGCCCCATAAAAAATCCTGAGCATTGACTGACAGATGTTAAAAGACAGCCGTCTCAAAAATCAGAGATGACTCTGGCCCTTCCTGTAAAGTGCAGAGCTGTTTTAACCCAGTCCAGGTTATTATCTATGTGTAATCCGAGATATTTATAGTCCTCCACAATGTCCATGTTGACCCTGTGGATTGAAACAGAGGTCAGAGGTTTCCTGGTCCTCATAAAGTCCACAATCAATTCTTTGGTCTTTGTCACGTTGAGCTGCAGATGATTCTGCTTGCACCATGTGACAAAGGAGTCAACCACAGCTACGCTGAGTCATGAGAAAACATCTGAAGATGTGCAGTGGCTGAAGTCTGTGGTGTAGAGGGTGAAGAGGGAAGGGAAGAGGACGGTCCCTTTTGGTGTCCCTGTGTTGTTGATCACCTTGTCAAAAACATAGTGTTGGAGATGCACCTATTGTGGTCTTCCTGTCAGGTAATCAACAATCCTGGACACAAACGGGGCATCCACCTGCATCGCTGTCAGCTTATCACCCAGGAGGATCGACCTGATGGTATTAAATGCGCTGGAAAAGTAAAAAAAAAAACACGACCCTCAAAGTGCTTGCCTGCTGGTCCAGATGGGCGTAGCAGGTCCTGATCTCCAAGGTGGGGCTGGTAAGTGAACTGAAGGGGATCCTGATGTGGCCTGACTATAGGTCAGAACTGGTCAAGGATGAGTCTTTCCAGGGTCTTCATGACATGGAAAGTCAGTGCCACAGGCCTGTAATCCTGGGGGCCACTGGGAAATATCCAGTATGTTGGTTGGTACAGGAATGAGGCATAATGTGTTCTGCTTCCATGTTTGTCAATATAACTAATATTAATATCTTCTGCTGTTCATCAACGTGAACTCATTCATGTCACTTAATCATATTGACCAGCAGGTGGCGACAAAAGCCCGCAGGCTCACTCTGGCTGCTATCCATGGTGCTGAAGGACGCATGGCGCTGTTAATTGTGACAGAGAGTTCACTGAGCAGAGGATTACTTAACTGGGTCAGGAGCTTCGCTTCACCAATCACTTCAGATTGAATTGGTTGGTAAAATCAACTAACAGAATTATACAAACACAATAATGGGCGCCAAGTGACTACACAGAGACTCAAAATGCACACAGAGAAACAAACCAAAGTCAAGAGGGTGTATGGGAAAAAGTCCAAAAGAAACAAAATGAATACAAAAAGGTCAGAAAAAACAACAACAACACAAAAGAGCAATTAAAAGACAGAAATTAACAGAGAGATTTCACTGCATTTGATCACTTTCTACAAAACAAAGGTGAGAAAATCAAATGGCACACCAGCTGGAAATTTCACAACCACACCACAATTTAAAATAGGAGGAACACTAGCTTATTAGTGAGGGAGCACAAATTTATAACCTCTGTAAGAATTCAAACATCCAGCATACAAAGGAAAACCAGTTGGTGTGAAAAATGTCTTCTTTTTAATGAGCTACGCTTGGTTTAATTAGGAAGAAAATCTTCTTCTTTTTTAGCAGATCATGGTGGAAAATGTTAATATATAAAATGCACTGTTGTACTTTTCCTTCAGTAAAGAGTCTGAGTGCTTCTGCAAACACTGATAGTCTCATTCCACTTTAGTAATGGCTGCTGATGTCTCATAAAGGAGTTCTCTCAATTTCAATTAAAACATTCTTTGAGGTGTTTGTTATGTTGTTATTATCCGAATAATTGCCTTCCTTTTCTGACAAAGTCTGTAGTCAAATACAATGTAAATAAAGTTTTGCTTAGTTAGCTTTTATTGGCAGCGAGAGCCAAAGTTTTAACAAAACAATCTTGTGAACATTCAAGAGGACCTGTTGTGTTTTCCTATCACACGTCACCACAGTGGAATTTAAATCAAACAATCGAGATGTAATCGAAGTGCAGACTTTCAGCTGTAATTTCGAGGGTTTAAGAAAAATGTTGCATTAAATGTTTGGGAATTACAAATATTTTTGAAGTTCAGATACTCTGCTAGATCTTGATTTCACCCACCTTCAGCTGTAGCTTGTTTGTGGCGCATCCTCTGTCGGGCCGAGACCAGTCAACTGACTTAGTGAATGAAGAATATCCCATTTCTTTGCCTTGATTTGCTTTTGTACATTGCTGTGCATCACTATGCACTTGGCCCGAGAGATTTAGCAGCATTTGGCTCAATCTGAACAGAGACTATTGCACTGTACATTTCAGACATCATCCTGCTGTTTCTGCTGTTGCAGTCACATCATCAATAAGCTCTAATAGGCTGGTTCCACTCACAACCATACACAGCCATGCCATAAAACTGTCTCCTAAATGTCTGATGGATGACGTGGGATTGGGGCGTGAGCTGTTCCTTCTTGTCTTCAATTTAAGAACATGAGACAAAGGGAACTTCAACACTGGCTGATTTGACCACTCGGACCCACAAGGTGAAACAAATACAAACAAACAAACAAACAAAGACGCAAAAACAGTTACTTCAAACTTATAATCAGACACAACAGGTTACATACCTAAGCTAAATTATAAAGATGAATGGATTAATTACCCACCCTCCTGTGATGCTTGGTGTAGCCCATCCATCCATCCATCCATCCATCCATCCATCCATCCATCCATCCATCCATCCATCCATCCATCCATCCATCCATCCATCCATCCATCCA